AATTAGTGTAAATTCCTCCTTACATTAGTAGTCTGTGTAAATTCCCCCTTACATTGGTTGTCAGAGTAGAGATTCTCCCTTATATTGGTGGTTGGTGTGAAATTCCCAGTTCCCTGGTAATCAGTGTAAATTCCTCATCACATTGGTGGTCAGTGTAAATTCCACATCACATTGGTGGTCAGTGTAAATTCCACATCACACTGGTGGTCAGTGTAAATTGGGCAGCACAGTGGCTAAATGGTTAGCATTTCCGCCTGGCAGTACTCGGGTCATTGGTTCGAATCCCAGCCACAGCACCACCTTCCTGGAATTTGCATGTTCTACCTGTGCCTGAGTGGGTTCCCTCTGGGTACTCCGGTTTCCTCCCACACTCCAAAGACATGCTGGTAGGTGAATTGGTTCCTGTCCAAATTGGCCCTAGCATGTATATGAATGTGAGTTAGGGACCTTAGATTGTACACCCCTTGAGGGTTAGGGACTGATGTGAATGTACAATATATATGTAAAGTGCTGTGTAAATTAACAACACTATATAAGTACCTGAAATAAATAAATAATTCCCCATCACATTGGTGGTCAGTGTATATTCCCCATCACTTTGGTGGTCAGTGTAAATTCCCCATCACATTGGTGGTCAGTGTAAATTCCTCATCTCATAGTTGGTTAGTGTATATTTCCCATCACATTGGTGGTCAGTGTATCTTTCCCACACGTTGGTGGTCAGTGTAAATTCTTCATCACATTGGTGGTCGGTGTATATTTCTCATCATGTTGGTGGTCAGTGTAGAATCCCCCACTACAGAATTCAGAATTTGCCACAGTGTAATGCCTCGTAGCTTGTTTTATTACACAGGATGTTTACTACCTACAAAAACCTACAACTCATCAGAAATCACAACAGGTGTCACAGTACACAGCAGAAATGTCAGTAATGAAATGTGTTCTAAATATTTTATGATAAATGTGTTTGCATTGCCATTATTGTTTATCAATGTATTCTCTGCAGCAGCTGTTGGACTGTAGCACTTTAAATCGATTATACCGACTAAGGCAAATATGTGAAATCACTTGATTCCCCCATCCACACTAAACATGGATGGAGGAATCTCCTATGGTGGCTATTGTGTTTAGACAGCTATGGTTATCCGAATACCCAAGCAGTGACTGCTTCTGATTGGATGATACACTATATTGCCAAATGTATTGGGACACCCCTCCAAATCATTGGATTCAGATGTTCCAATCACCTCCATGGCCTCAGGTGTATAACATCAAGCCCCTAGGCATGCAGACTGCTTCTATAAACATTTGTGAAAGAATGGGTCGCTCTCAGGAGCTCAGTGAATTCAAGCATGCTACCTTGATAGGTTGCCACCTGTGCAAGTCCATCCATGAAATTTCCTTGATTCTAAATATTCTACGGTCAACTGTTAGTGATAATGTAACAAAGTGAAAGCAACTGTGAACAACTGCAACTCAGCCACGAAGTGGTAGGCCACGTAAAATGACAGAGCGGGGTCAGTACATCCTGAAGTGCACAGTGTGCAGAAGTCGCCAACTGTCTGCAAAGTCAATAGCTAAAGACCTCCAAACTTGGTGTGGCCTTCAGATTAGCACAACAGCGCGTAGAGAGCTTCATGGAACGGGTTTCCATGGCTGAGCAGCTGAATCCAAGCTTTACATCACCAAGTGCAATGCAAAGCGTCGGATGCTGTGGTGTAAAGCACGTTGCCACTGGACTCTAGAGCAGTGGAGATGTGTTCTCTTGAGTGACTAATCACGCTTCTCTGTCTGGCAATCCTATGGACTTGTCTGGGTTGGTGGTTGCCAAGAAAACCATACTTGCCTGACTGCATTGTGCAAAGTGTAAAGTTTTGAAGAGGAAGGATTATGGTGTGTGGTCGTTCTTCAGGGGTTGGGCTTGGCCCTTAGTTCCAGTGAAGGGAACTCTTAAGGCGTCAGCATACCAAGACATTTTGGACAATTTCATGCTCCCAACTTTGTGGGAACATTTTGGGGATAGTTCCTTCCTGTTCCAACATTACTGCACACCAGTGCACAAAGCAAGGTCCATAAAGACATGGATGAGCAAGTTTGGGATGAAGGAACTTGACTGGCCTGCACAGAGTCCTGACCTCAACCCAATAGAACACCTTTGAGATAATGTAGAGCAGAGACTGTGAACCAGGCCTTCTCATCCGACATCAGCGACTGACCTCACAAAAGCGCTTCTTGAAGAATTGTCAAACCTTCCCATAGACACACTCATAAACCTTTTGGACAGCCTTCCCAAAGAATTGAAGCTGTTATAGCTGCAAAGGGTGGGCCAATTCAATATTGAACCCTACGGACTAAGACTGGGATGCCATTAAAGTTCATGTACGTATAAAGTCAGGCTTTCCACTACTTTTGGCAATATAGTGTATATCTGTTAGGATGCAGTCACAATTCATCCAATAACTTTCCACCCAGGTCCTTCAAATGAAGCTGGCTTTTGTTGAGCTGAGTGGTGCTGACAGGGTAACCCATGGTTCAAACTCTGCGTGATTTGACTCTTAGATTGTAAGCTCCAAGGAGCAGGGCCATCCTAACCCTCTTGTATTGAACTGTATTGTTGCTGTATTGTCTCCCGTTATATTGTAAAGCGCTGAGCAAACTGTTGGCGCTATATAAATCCTGTATAATAATAATTTGGCATGAGCTGTGTATGATAAGTTTAAAAGTTGTAGTTAGCTAAAGAAATTCACAAACCCTTTTGAACAATACGTTACTAGCTGTTTATGGTCCTATTTTGATGAATCTTTCTCTATGCACAGTGTTTGCTAGAAGCACAGCAAAAAAGAAAGAAAGAAAAAAAAGGTGTCTTTGGATTTTATTTTAATATTTGCAGCTATGTTAGCAACTTGTCTCAATGTATACAGTTTTCTTAAGCAAATTTTTTTTCTTAAACTTTTGCAATGTTTGGTACTTGAAGATCCTGCCAACACCAGTTGCAGGCTGATAACACTAAAGCCGGTCATACATGAAATCAAAATTCAGCCAGTTCACCAGTGTCAAATTTGATCTATGTATGGGCAGGCTGATTTTACCCAAGTCAATCTATTAATCAACTTGGGTACAACCAACCTGTCAACATTTTTTTACATGTAATTACTGCCAGCGGCTATAGCTGCTAGCAGTAATCAATGTGTTCTGCTGGCTTGGAAGGCTCCCTCAGTCGGCAGAACACAATATCCCTGCAGGAGACATTCTCACATCAACATTGACTGTGCTGATGGGGAAATTGAGTGATTTTCTTTCCTTCCACCTATGGTGAGAGAAAGGAAAATAAAATCATCTATGGGCTGCCTTAAGCTGGCTACAGATGATGCGATTTTATTTCCTGTAACCACAATCAGCCTGCTCATAGATGGACTGAACCGACCGGGATTCAAACCATCTATGGCCGGCTTTAGACAATGCCTCACAATTAGCAGCAGCATAGTCAGTCTGCCATATATGCTCCTTTATTTCACTGCCTATCTGATTGAGCTGCCTATCAGACCGGTAAAATAGACATCCCAGCAGCCAACTGAAGCAGGGAGAATGGCATGCTGACAAGACTGCTGCTAATTGTGAGACAATAGATTAAATGTCACCCTGCAACAGGAAATTATGTTAATGGAAGGTTCCCCAGAAAAGAAGCTTTGCAACAGATTCACAAAAAAATATTTGCTTAAAATGTTACTAAACCCAGGACCCTGCATTCACTATATCTGGTCTCTCGCAGTACACAGAGCATGGAAATGCAATTATTTTGGTAAATATAAACTGCTAAATACCTTTACTCATCAGAAGTTAGAACAATCTTGTGACTTCTATCAGTGTCTAGCAGGTCACTGGTTAAAGCTGGTAGGAGGAGTTTTTATTCTGTCCTACAAGGCTGCTGGACCCCTGACCCTCTGTCTGGACAGTTCTGATTGGCCATGTGCTGATCACAAGATTTCAAGAAAAAAAAACTTCCTAGCAATACACACCAAACTGAGCACAGCAGCTTGCCCCCAAGACTCTGTTCTATCAGGAGATGGATTGGGGACAGTAGAAGAAGGGGAGGATCAGAGAAGACAGGCTCAAACATCCTTTTTGCACAATGTGGATTAACCCCTTAGGTTCCATAATGAGTATAAAAAGTATGCTTTACTGCATATACAGACTGATTTTACTGTTGTGGATTTAGAAACACTTTAAAGAGGTAGTAAACTCTTTTTTATAAACTTTTATCTACCAGTAAGCTTATAATAAAGCTTACATGTAGTTAGAATTAATATCTTATAAAATGTGCACTGTTTAGGAGATATTTGCTCTTTTTTTGAGCCAGCGCATGCACTCGGAAGGAATGGCATCAGGGGTGGACTGACAACTCATGGGGCCCCCGGGCAATAGGGGATCATGGGGCCCCTGTGTCCTTGCCCAAACTCAAAAAAGCCTATGAAAAAGGTACCAGGGGCATCTCATGGGGCCCCCTACTGACCACGGGCCCTTGGGCAGTGCCCGAGTTTCCAAATGGTCAGTCCACCCCTGAACGGCATACTAGTGTCGTTCCTGCTGAGTACTGTGTCGTAGCTCGGGACTCCTGAGTGCATGCGTGGGAGTGATGTCATCGCAGCTCAGCCATTCAGACAGCTGAAGCTCACGAACCTGGAAGTAATACCAGGAGAAGATGGAAGCCTCTACAACTGCTGGAGGGCTTTGTTTTAAGGTAAGTCCTTCATAATGTGCTAGTATTCGATGCATACTAGTACAATATGACATTTGTTTTTTTATCTGCGGTTTACTACTGCTTAAAGTAAACTGTATACAGTAAGTCATGTTGACAAACATACTAAAAAATTGTTTTAGGGTCTACAATACACATGAATGTAACACACTTTTCCTGCTAAAAATGTGTTGCAGTTCACTGTGGTAATGTATCCCTTGATGGTAGCAAGTACTGAGCTTCATAGATTTACATACAAATGTACCTGTTCTTGTTCTCACAAACATGTCTGCTATGTAGATTACATCAGACAAATAGTCGAGTACGAACCATACTTCCAAATAGTCTTGCTGAAGTTCATCAAAACATGCCCTGCAAGAAAAATAATAAATGAATGTTTAATACTTCGGTACTCTATATTGTGATACTACAGCATTTCATACTGGTGCATCATAAGTTAAATTTCAACATTACTGGGGCTGTAATAATATCATACAGATTGCTGCTGAACACCCGTATACTAAGCAAAGGGACTATGCTTCAGGAGGATGTACTCACAGCATAAGACAATTGACCAGGCCTATCCTAGAGGCAGCGCTGTCACTTATCATCCTGTCAGTTATTATGCGTTTCATTCTCACAATCATAGACTGTGCTTCCAAAAATATTAATGAGGACATGTGAAATGTTAGTTTACAATACATGGTTTATAAGGATGAAGAAAAACATAGATGCATCCAGTTCAACCAATGCATGCGTGTGTGTATTCGATTTGTATTCTCTAACATTCCCAGAACCCTGCTTGTTCTGCTTCGTGAGGAAGAGGTTTACATTTTTCTAAAGTCGTTGACACTCTCTAAGCTTAAACCTCCTTTCTTCTAACCTCCATTTTTTAAGTTTGATTATTTTAATCATATATATGGGGTTTATTTATTAACTAACCCTTTTGCTGTTTTTGCATTTCTTTTGCACGCATGTTTAAAAAATCATTTTAGGCCTGAAGATTACACAAAACACTAAAACATTATATATTTTCTGAAAGCAGACACCGTAGAGAACACAGTAGTGGTAGTTCCATTTTTTTATGTCACGCGATATTACTGCAAAGGTCTAGGAAACACAATAAACACACTAAAGTGAATTATAGGGCAAAGAAATGCAATACATTACCCACATTTTTTGTAATATATAAAAGATGAGGTTGCACTGAGTAAATAGATACCCAACATGTCAAAGCTTAATTTTGTGTGCATCCATGCAGAGCAATACAAAGCAGCATGCTGGTGCTGACAGGGGAGAGATCTGTATTGTTTACAGACCTCTCCCCTGTCAGTGTTACTCAGCAATCGCCGGGTGCCAGCGGGGAATCTCCAGCCAGGACCCGGTGATTGACAGCTGTAGCCATCAATGGCGGCGCGGGTAGGGCGACCCTCTACCCAGTAATGCAAAATCACATCTATATACGTGATTTTACATAGCTCTGCCGCCCTGTAGCAGTAGTTCTGCTATAGGGTGGTCGGGAAGTGGTTAATGCCTGCTAGTGACTACAGAAAAAAAAAAATATATATATCATATTAAAGGATAAGTTAATCTTTATGGTCATCTTTGATCCAAAGGTAGATCAGTTATTTAGATGAGGGTACAAGGCCAAGGCAATAATTGTGCCCTAGGGCTTTATAGCCTACTCTGTAGTTCAGCAAAAGAGTATCTAAAAAGAATTACATGTACAGTATCTGAGGATATAACCAAAAGTAGCTCTTTTAATCATATGGGGCATACTCTCATATTTTCTGCACCTGGGGGGAGTATGTAGTGAGGGATCCGAATCTGGAGAGTGATTTTAAAGATGTACTAATCTTGTATGCATCTGCCCAATGTTTTAGGTGTAAACTCATTTCAGGGGTACATAGTAAACTGCAGGGATTATTTAAAAGGTTGACTGATACGACGACATTTGAAAAAATGATTTTGACAGGAAATGTGCTTTGTAGAAAAACGTAGGGTTTCAGACAAAGCCCATTGTAACTCTTTTCTCAGCAGTGAATAGAAAAGATTGAATAACAAAATTGAAGGTCACCTTGCAATAATCATGGTCCAGTTGTACATTACTGGCATTGTAATGCAAAATAGCCAGTTGTAATAAGCATTCCCAGATGGGTCAATAACATAGATTTCTTTCTTTGGCCTGGAGAGAAAAGAGAAAATTGGTAAATCTATTAAACATCCAAATATCTTCTAAACTGAAGTGAGCAAACAAGAAAATGGCACATATTTAGTTAAAACAAACAATTTGACAACTTTTAAACTGAAGTGTAATCTGCATATATTAAACATACCTTAGTTTAGACTCAGTGATGTAATGGATCTCTGTGCTTCTCTATATTGGCAGAGTATTGCTGATGGGGGGGCAGGCAGGGCCGTACATACTGTAGCTTACTGAAATAATCACAGCATCCTGCTTCAGTATTCCTCTCAAGAGCCCTCAGCCCTAATGCAGTGGGCTGGATTTTAGTAGATTTTATGCAAATATCAGAATGCCTTAATTGGTGGGGGTCAGTTTGGAGCAGGGGGCTTTCCTAGGCTGGCTGTATGTGCATGCAGAAAGCCCTAGGGAACACCCATATATGATTCTGAGCCTCCATGATTAAAAGAACTGAAATCCACAAATGCAAGAAACGGGCCAGTGACAGTCATGTTAGGTAGGAAAGCGCTAGATGATTCCTTCAGCCATAAATGAGCCCTATCTGATTTACTGCAAAATGTAATGCACAATGCGAGAGGCTCACAGCGTGCAGTAAAATGACAGAACAGAAGTACAGAAACAGGAACCTGTACAATTGTGCAAGACTGAAGGTAAGGTTGAAGTTCAGCTTTAAATGTTTCCTAAAATTTGTAGTAACATGGAAAAATAGAAGAATATGGCTGGCAGAACAAGATCACACTGTCAATTTTTTTATATCCCACCTACTCCCCTCCCCACCTTATTTTGCCCCAGCTGAATTGACAACACTTTGCAGCAGACAGCTGATTCATAGATACAGCTTGTCTGTATTGTGAGCACTTTCCCAAGACAAGCAACCTCAATAAAAAGGGACAAGGGATGTGTCAGCCCTGCATATCTTTTGCCATTGCATGTCTTTGGAAAGTGTCCACAGCCAGGACAAACTGCAGACATGAATCACCCAACTCCTTCAAAGCTGTTGTTGGATCAGTCATGGCATTGAGGGGGGGGGAGTTGAGCAGGTCAGAATGGTGGAAAGCACCATGGGACAAAGTACTGCATGTGCTTAGTCCTATGGAGGACAGAACTGTAAAATACAAAAATAATCATAGATCATCTTTAACCACTTCCTGACCGCACTATAGTGAATGACAGCTACAGCGCGGACTTTCAGTTCTGGTAGGGCGTCATATGACATCCTTCCAGAACAGTGCCCCCAGTGGCACGCACCCAGTGCTCTCTGTGCTCTCACAGCTGATCATATGACATGTTAAGGGCCAATCACAACAGCCTTTTACCACATGATCAGCTGTGTCCAATCACAGCCTATCAGCATGTAAAGACATTTGCCGGTTATTGGCAGTACTTTCCTCACGATGATTATCAGTGCAGCCCCAAAAGTGCCTTGCAGTGCTGTCAATCAGTGCCTATCAGTGCCGCCAGTCATTGCCAATAATCAGTGACACCAGTCAATGCTGCCTATTAGTGCCAATCATTTCCGCATATCAGTGCAGCCTCATCAGTGCCTCCTCATCAATGTCTACCAGTGTCGCCACATCAGTTCCGCCTTATCAGTGCAGCCTATCAGTGCCCATTAGAGCTGCCTATCAGTGCTCATCAGTGTTGCCTATCAATGCAGTCTATCAGTGCCCATCAGTGCAACTTCATCAATGATAAAATTTGTTACATTTTCAGAAATTTATAATTTCTGAAAATGTAATTTTCGGTCTTTTTTCATTTGTTTAGAAAAAAAATAAAACCCCGGTGGTGATTAAATACCACTAAAAGAAAACTCCATTTGTGTGAAAAAAAAGATAATAATTACAGTTTTGCATGATCATGTAATTGTCATTCAACGTGCGACAGCACTAAAAGCTGAAGTTTGCCCTGGGCAGGAAGGGGGTAAAAGTGCCCAGAAAACATGTGGTAAGGTTTCTATTATGAAGATGGGGAGGTAATATACAGTGTGTTAGCATTTTCTAAATGTTTAAGAACTTACTGGTCTTTTCTTGTCTTTGTCTTTATCCTTATCTTTATCTTTGTCTTTATCTGTCTTTTCTTTCTCCTTCTCAGGTTCTTTTTTATCCTTTTCTTTTCCATTATCTTTATTTTCTTTTTCCTTTTTGTCCTTTGCACCTTTTTCTTTGTCCTTTTCTTTGTCCTTTTTCTTTTCCTTTTTGGGCTCAGATTTACTGTTATAGGAATTAAAAGGAAAGTAAGTAGAATGCCAGCCTTTGTCTTTTCAACTGGAGTGATGCAGGTTTATACACAGGACAATCAATATGGCTAATCTACAGTGACTCTTCCTAGGATGGTGTTGGTTTTTAAAATTTCAGCGCAAGTGCATATATAATTGTTATGAGCGAATGGGGCAAAAAAAAAAAAAAAAAAATTATGTTATTATGCTATTTTCTGTGGGATTTATCTATGATATTAATTGCCATTTAGTGGACAGGTGCAGTATTTCCTGGTTTAAATCAATGAAAACTTGAACAGCACAGGAAATAGCTTAATAACACTTATTTTTGCCCCCATTTGCATAGAACAAATATACATGCACTTTCACTGAATGTATTGGTATGCAGATTTTTTTTTTTCTTAATAAACACATCCCTTAAAGTTAAACTACAGGCAAATATAAGAAAACAAAAGGCAAACACCCTGACTTTTAAATAGCTTTAGAGTAAGGCACATATAAGTACTTTGCACAGAGCAAACAAAACAAAATGTACTTCTCAGCTGACTTATCAGCTAGCCAGCAAAAAAAAACTTTGCATTAAAATCAGAGTTGCATAATAGAAGTAAAAAAACTTTGGTTCAGTAACAAGCGAACAAAAAAATGTAAAATGTTTTTTACTCCCTCTGCTGACTAAATATTTGGTGAAACTCAAAGGCTAGACTTTCTTTTATCTATAACTGGAAGGACTAACCCTATTAAAATGATATGAATGTCCCAGCTATTAAATATTATGCACAACTCACCAGTTTGGATAAACAAGAAATTGATACCCTTTACTGAGAACTTACTTGGGCTAAAAAGCCTTCTAGAATTAAATTTGAAACTGCAAGTGTCTTGGGAATAAGGGGCCCACCTATGGCTGTATGTCTTGTCAGTGCAATTGTAACACTTTGGAGTTGGGGTACATCTCTCCAGACAGCCCAAACTAGATGTTAACTGCCTTAATTCTTGGCTAGCAAGTCAATATTTTAGCTTAGGAATCCAGGTCTCTACTGGATCATCTACTTTATATCTATCCATCTTTATGCCTATTACACGCAATCAGAAAATTGGATGAAAAATACTGCTCTCAAAGTGATCGTACAATAATCTAATCGTTAGTAGACAGCTTTCAAGAGCCGATCATGATAGCTCATGTGAAATTATCTGAACGGACAAGCACGATAATTTTCCTTGTATGAGTTCCTACCTACAAGCTGACAGGACTAGTGACATCAGCTTCCCTACTCCAGTCAGCTTAGCACCAAAGGAGACAAGCCAGATCTGGAGAGGAGAAAGCCAGGAGAAGTGGTGGGTTGTGCTCTCTCTCTCCTCCAGCTCCTCTTCTGCCACTGCAGCTCTCCTGGATCTGGACTGCCGGATCGCCACTGCGCAATGTTTGCTTCCTTCCAGCAAAGAACATGGGTAGGGGCAGTAAGCAAACACCGCACAGCGGCAATCTGACAACCAGTGGCATCTTTAGTGCAGAGCCCCAATGCTGAGGTCAGATAGCCCTCTATAGCCCCCCTCGTAGTGCTTGAATTTTTTTTTGGACGGTGGGGGGAGGGAGAGGATTTTGGCTGACACATAAGGCTCATACATTTTGGGAGGATGCCAATTGGCATCTTCCCCCTGGGACCTAGATTACCTTGTCCCAGCACTGATAGCTACTATATCTGACATACCAGTGAGGAGACAGAGCACACAAATTTGAAATTTGAAAATATTTTGAAAGAGTGGCTGTGAGTTCCCATGCACCATCATCATTTATATTAGAAGTATTGTTTGGAGGCAGTACTTTACAGAATGACTCTAACTTGACACTCACATTAGATGAATTTATTGAAAGATATTTATTCCTTTTTTGTTATTCCTATTGTTTTTTGTTCCTGTCATGGAATTAATATCTAGAATATTCACTCTTTGGCCTTATGCGCATAGGCAGTTTGGCCCATTCGGCATTAACAACATACAGCATATTGTTGCTAACGAATGCATACATACAGTATATGGAAGATATGTCCTGCTACTTTCCCTTTTTTTGCTTTATTTATTTAAGATCACATTTTCTTTTACTTCCAGAGTGTAAGCCAATTTCTTCTTTAATTAAACCACATTGTGTACAGTATATGTCTCTGCCTTTGTTTAGTTCTACACTGTTAAGAAACAAAACATGTAAGGAAATGTTCTTTCAAAGTAAAAGTTTCTCTGATGTTTAATTACCTAATATTTGTATTTATATTGTTTTTCTGTAATCACCTGAATACAAGAATTGAGTGAGAGGTATGTATTGCTTGACTATCAGGTTCTAGTTTAGTGCATTGAACAGTGTTTTCATATGGCAGGATTATATGAGTAGAGATCACAGGAGGGCTCATCATGGAGGAGATGGCCATAGTGATGGAGAAGGCTTGGGAAGATGAGATGACACAGGAGTACATTATATATCAATGTTACCCCCTGACTATATAGCCATTGACAGGTGTGAAAAACATAAGACTGGCTGAACAGATCTTCAGATGATTTGGTTATAGGCATGCTATGGAATCTGAACTTTAGGAAACATTCTGACTCTAAAATCATATGTATACAGATATATATATACTTTTCTTATACATTTATATGCCAAAGGTTGATAAACTATTCATTCCGATGGTCTAGACCAGCAATGGGCAAACTAAGGCCCGCGGGCCGTATACGGCCCGGTGGACCTTTTAATCCGGCCCGCGGAGCGTGCTAAAAAAAAAACACAGCCAGGGCAGGCAAACATTGGCTGTCAGGATGTGTGTAGGCGGGGAAGCGTGACGAACATGAAGGGAGCTAGGCTCCTCTCACAGTCCTGCCTGAAGACCGGAACGGCGCGGGAACACGGCGAGAGGAACGCGCGGAGCAAAGGTAAGTGAATTGACACAGGGGGGACTTGGCTTACTACTTGGGGGGGAATAGTACTGTGGGGGATGAATTAATATGGGGAATGAATTACTATAGGGGGGATGAATTACTATAGGGGGGATGAATTACTATGGGGGATGAATTGCTATGGGGGGATGAATTACTATATGGGGGATTAATTACTATGGGGGGATGAATTACTATGGGGGATGAATTACTATATGGGGGATGAATTACTATGGGGGATGAATTACTATATGGGGGATGAATTACTATGGGGGATGAATTACTATATGGGGGATGAATTTACTATATGGGGGATTAATTACTATGGGGGATTAATTACTATGGGGGATGAATTACTATAGGGGGGATGAATTACTATATGGGGGATGAATTACTATGGGGGATGAATTACTATGGGGATGAATTACTATATGGGGGATTAATTACTATGGGGGATGAATTACTATATGGGGGGATGAATTACTATGGGGGATGAATTACTATGGGGATGAATTACTATATGGGGGATTAATTACTATGGGGGATGAATTACTATATGGGGGATTAATTACTATGGGGGATTAATTACTATGGGGGATGAATTACTATGGGGGATGAATTACTATATGGGGGATGAATTACTATGGGGGATGAATTACTATGGGGGATGAATTACTATATGGGGGATTAATTACTATGGGGGATGAATTACTATGGGGGTATGAATTACTATATGGGGGATTAATTACTATGGGGGATGAATTACTATGGGGGATGAATTACTATATGGGGGATGAATTACTATATGGGGGATGAATTACTATGGGGGATGAATTACTATGGGGGGTGAATTACTGTGGGGGATGAATTACTATATGGGGGATGAATTACTATGGGGGATGAATTATATGGGGGATGAATTACTATCTACTCTTGGTCCGGCCCCCGGGTCCAATATATGAACCCATTGCGGCCCTCAAGTCAAAAGGTTTGCCCACCCCTGGTCTAGACTGCCCAATTGAAAGTCCAGTTATTTCTTGATACTGCCACAATCACAGATATCAGATGACAGAATTCAGAAAGAGCTGCCGTTTGAGTGACTATCTGAGAAAGCTACAAAACAACAAATTTGGAGAAGACATCCAGATATTTTTATACATACCTCTTTTTTTCTTTTTTCTTTTTCTTTTTTTCCTCTCTGTAAAACATTAAGAGTTGTAAGAATCCTCTGTCTTTGATGTAACAGTGGAATCTCATACATACTGCAATATTTTAAACATTATATGCACATAAGCAAAAACATGATTACAATACTACACATACATACTCATGGACCCTGCACAAATTATGCATTACGTTTCTAAATTTACACAAATAACCTATATCAAACATTGTTATAAAAGTGTAAAATATTAAAATACACAAGTGCTGTGTAATTAGAGAAAGAATACTTTCACACCATTGGTGTTTAACACAGCAGCTCAAGTATTACACATTGGTGCCAGCATATATGGTATATATTTGCTCCCACTACTAAATGTACTAAGTCTAAAATGTCAATGTTTTGCCTTTAGTTCTAACTTTAAGGTAAATTATTTACCGAAGTAAAAATAAATAATTGTATGGGATATTGTTTTTTCTATTTGTATTGTAATTGTTCTCTCCTATAAACTATTTTATGTACTGATTGTCTTCAGAAAACAAATGCACAAGGTGTAAAATAGGTTCAGCTGATTGTCCCCTTTCTGTTGGTTGCCAATGATCATTTTAGTACCTACAATATCAACTTCATTTTAAGCTGTTATACGGGATGATGCCTCCAGCTGCAGGCATCATCTCAGTAACGTTTTTTAGAGCTAATGGTTGGCTCTCTTGTAATAGCAATCAGATTGGCTAATTAGCTGATCTCTCATCCCACCAGGAGTCCCAACTGACCAGCTGATGCTACTGCCGGCTAGTCACAGAGCTGAACGTAGACAGAACGGCTTTGTTTGGTTCTGTTACATAGTAACCTGGAAGCGGTGACCTGACATCACTTCCGGTTTACTTGGAAATACACTGCGCCATTTTTAAAAAAGAAAAGCATT